TAAAGTGTGATGCCAAGCAGAAAAATATCTTCCACCTACTCAAACAAAGCAAGTCCCAAATGCCAGCATTCAGGAAACATGCACACAGCCACGGAGTGGGATGCAACTGTACACATCAACTTTTATTTTTATGTCTGGAATGTATGTTGCCTATTTCAAACAGAAAGCATTTAAAAATCTATATGAAAACTGGCACATCACCTTTATATGGTGCCCTCAGCTTGCTGGAGACATGCATAAGATCTCCTTTTCCTCTGAGGAAGCACAGAAATTTGGTGGTTGTTCAAAACCCTCTCTCGATGTTTAATAACTTATTTTCCTTTCATTTCTGTCTTATTTACTGTATTAAATACAGTAGTAAAATACATAGAATGTGTATTCTGCTAAGAAACTGCCTGAGAAAATAAATCAGACTTTGGTGCTAAACAGAACTTGATTTCTCTTGGCTCTTGTGCTCACGAGGTTTTTTTTTCTCATGGAGCTTTGTTTGAAAGGCAGCTCAGCAGCAGAGCAGTGTCACTGTCTGTTTGAGAGGAACTCTGCCCCTGGCCAGGAGCCCATGCAAGGCACAGACTTTTGTTATTTCACCACAGCACGAGCATGTGGGGCTCAGGAGTTTCTGCTGCAGAGCCTTTTGCACTTTGCAAAGCAGGAGAGTTTCTTTTTGCCTTTGTCAGCTCCTGAAGTAAGGAAAGGGGCTGCTAACAGAAAGGAGGTGGCAGCTCTTACACAGACAGGGTAGGAGGCTGTTGCTATTTGGTATCTCTGCTGAGATGCATTTGAGGCCAGTTCTTGCTGCCAAGATGAAAATGAACCCATAAATCTTAACAGGCTCAGAAAGCCCTTGATGTTCCTTGCTTTTGGGTTGTCAAGACTCTTTTAGAATAAGCTGGAAGCAGCAGGAGCAATCCTCCAGGAGACAGGCTGCTTTCCCAAGGGAGATTTAAAGAGTTGCCAAGTTCATTTTAAGATTTAAAGAAAAAAAATCAGAAAAGAGATTCCTTGTCTGTTCTCTACTCAAACCCTTTCCAAAAAAGTCAAGAAGCCACAGACACTCTCCTTTGTGAGGGGCTAGGGAAATTATACACAAATATTACACTGAAAATATTGGGTGGAGGTCACCCCTGCAGCAGCTCCTCAGAAAAGAGAGGGGAAAAGAGGGTGATCCTCTATACCCCATGCAGTCCTGGGCAGCTCACAGGAACTCCCTCCCACCTCTTCTTAAATACAGAAGAAATCTCTCCTTCACAGAACATGCCCAACAAGTCTACGAATGTGGTGAGCTTAGGTACCATAAGAATTAATGCCCTAAGATACAGAATAATAATAGTGAAACAGATAATAATCCTGCTCTATATCACACAGTTGTATTTGCCAATTATTCTGAGAAGTTCTGGTAGTATTTTAACTCACTTCCCATAAGAGCTGGCACAATTTATACACAAACATTTGAACGAATCACAAACAACCGAATACAACATGTCTTCTCTCCTCCTTAAAGGTGTTGGATTGCTAGGTAAGAACAAGCAAGGCCTGGACTTTGCCAAGGGTGACAGAGCACTGCATTCACTCACGTATATATGAGTCTCCTGTACTATCTACCTCCTTTGTGCTGGTGGGACTGGGATGCTTCAAACTCCTGAGAAGAGTTTAATGTTACAGCACCACTTGTCACTAGCATTATTAACTAAGTGCTACCACTCACAATCACTGGTGAAGGGAGTTTTGTATAGCATTTTAACCACATCCCTTCTCCACCCTCAGCTGGGCTCACTGCCTTGAAGTCTTGCAGCAGGCTCAGAGAACTCTTTAGTGAGATGTACCGATGTGCTGACTTGGAAAACGCAGTCAAAACAGACATGCAAATGGAACACATCTCTACACAGAGCGATCTGTGGGGACAGCACATTCAAGGCAGCGAGTCAGAAAGATAGGACAACACATACAGGGCTGGCAGGACTTTGAGCACAGTAAGGAAATTAGAAGATGTGCATCTGCCAATGAATGGTGGCATCAGAATTGTTCACTGCAACCACTCTGCCAGCTCTTCCTCTTTCTGAGTCTTCTCTTTTCAATCCCATTCTTGCTGGGCTCTGGATTTCCATTGCATCCTTTATGCAGTGGGGCCCAACTTACAAAACACCTTGTTGCCCCAACCCCTCTTCTTCCACCTCCACAAAGCCACATGCCTCCACCAAACTCTTGTTTTGTGCTTCCTTCACTTCCCTGCTCACCTCCTGCCTTGCTCTCTCACATACTACTTCCACTCAAGCCCAGAGAGCAGCTTCTCTCTCCCTTCACACTTATCCTCTGAAGCTGAAGGGGTCTTGAGGAGTTTCTTTTCTGGTTTAATTTTCTCTTATTTAATTTTACTAAAATATTTTAGGGCTTTTTTTTTTTTTTTTTTTTTTTTTGCTGTTGCCATTGAAACCATGACATAGACGATTTTAGCCTGGCAGAGATCCGGTATACTCGAGCTGTTTTCCCATCACACCTTAAAGCAGTCTTCCTTTCCAGGGGAAGGAGGCAGAGGCAAAGCTATATTCGTAGATGCTGGTGCTGACTTCATACAGCTTTCTCTTCTCAAAGAGGATGCTGACAGAAACTCAGCCACCACGTGCTCTTAATCACTTTAAATCCTACTGCAAAAGTCACATTAATCCTTCACCTACCATTCCCTAGTTTGTACATTGGAGGGAATTACCAGCACTACTGGTGTTATACAGACAGAAGACAAATGGGCATTAGGACACAGAATGGCAGAAGAAAACTGTAAAGTAGAAGCAGGCAGCAAAACACGGATGGCACAAAAACATCAGACTGGACAAATGAAAGTAAATTTTCTCAAAACAAAATGTTCAAAAAGAATTAAATAAAACTAAAGAAGGGTAGAGCTGGCAGAAGCAAGTATTGAAAGCCACATATGGTAGAATAAACCTTGGAAAGGAACTGCTGTGCAAAGTGAGTTGGAAGAGGTGCTGCCATCCATCTGCACACCTGTGACACTGAGTGAGCAGGGCCCAGCTCTCCTGGGCTGTCAGCTTTCTGGATTTAGTACCTATAATACCTGCAGAGACTCCAAACAACTGAGAAAATTGCTAAATAAGAAGCAACATTAACCATAGAAACCAGATGAACTACAGT